TACGTCGGGCGGGGGCTTACGGGCGAGAACGACATGCAAAGGCGGGAGCGCCGCAACCGCGAGCGGACGTACCTTGTGCTATGGGTGCACGACCGCAGCCTGAGCATGCAGACGGGAAAGCATTGGATGCTTCCGAAGGACGACGAGCTGGTGAGGCACTCGGGGACGTGGCACTCGGAGGGTGGGAGCCAGACCCGCCAGGAGGACGTCATCGTGTCCGCGTTCACGCAGCTCCGGGGCATCGCTGCGAATACGACGGACGTGTTCAACATGGCGCAGGGCGGGTCGGCGTCGAGTGGAGATGACGTTGACTATGAGGTCCTTCTACGCGACTGCAACTGCAAGCTGAACCAGTGGGTGCAAACTTGGTGCGAGGAGATGAAGGGAGGTAAGCATGTCCGCTTTCTGTCAGACTCGATGAAACATCGCTCACACTCTTGACAGCGGGTGGCTCACGATTCCACCTCTCGATGCTCATGTTCTTCCAGCTGCACGTGCGGCTGTTCCTCAACACCTTCGGGATCCACTCGAACAGCTCGTCCGGCTCTTCGTGCAACGTCGAGGCGCTCAACGCCTGTCACACCGCAGCGATGTCGGGTCTCAAAATCGTCGCGCAAGACTTTGTCGACTTGCAAATGCTGCGGTACGGACAGGACTCGATCACGGTCATGACAGCGTACTCTGCTGTCGTCTTGCTCAAGGTGGGCATCAGCGTCATACAGCCGTCTTTCTGACGCTGACGTAAGTTGGGTTTTGCAGCTGCTTCGTGCTAGCATCTCGCCGTCACTGTCGGATCTCAGAACCAATGCAATGCAAGAGATCCACAACATGATCGGCAAGACTGCGAAGGCGTATCACGACGCCGCACATCTCAGCCAGCAGTCGTACTCCGCAGCGTATCACGACCGCTTCCTGCGGTCGCTCATCGCGAACGACCTCCAGAAGGCGCAGCAGCGGCAGGCGGAGCGCGAGCTGTACTCGCGTGAGATGGCCAGCACCAACGGGCGCGGCGTGCCGTCGTCGTACGTGCCTGCCGGACAACCGTCCCACTCGGCGAACGGCTATGGTCAGCAGGTGTACGGGATGCAGGCGAATGGCATCGAGCACCCCCAGGCGCCCCAGCATAGCGGGTACTACTCGCAGTCGCCTGCTGTCTCGTCGGCGTTGACGTCGAGCACCGCCTCTTCGTCGTCCTCCCCGTATACGCATCCCACGGCCTCGTCGTCGTACATGCCGCACCGCGAGCAGGACTACCCGATGTCGGACTCGACGCACCGCGGCGGAGGCATGAGCAACTTCAGCCTGGCGGGGATCTCGACGACGTACGCGCAGTACCAGGCGCAGCCGATGGAGGAGCACGACTCGATATACTGGCGGAACATGTTCAAGGACCTCGGCTTCGACGGCGGCGCAGAGCCGCACCCCCAGGTACAGGCCCACGCCGCGTATGGGAACGGCGGGTACGTGGCACCGGCGGGCGCGATCGCTGAGGCGGGGCGAGCACGAGCGGGATGCATATGCCGGTGCAGCAAGCCCCGGTGCACCCGCAGCAGTCGCATGGCGGTGTCACGTATCGGGAGGCGCCCGTTGAGTACGCTGGGTACCAGAGCCATGGGGGATACGCTGGGTACGTCACGGGGTACCAGGCTCCCTACGGTCGGTGAGGCCGGCAGCGTTTCCTCGGCGTTCTGTCGTCCGAGTTGCATGGACCTTCTTGGACCCTTCATCGTATCCGACCCCATCCTCCAAGTCGCATCGCCTTCTTGACCTTCACCCCGCCCCGTACTTGCATTTGACCTTCGCCTTCGTTTACCGTCGACCGTGCCCTCCTTCCTCCTCCCAGTATGTACGCTTGGTCCCCCGTATCTTTGTCCCTCCCTGTGTTTCCCCGCCCGTCGCGCGCACTCGACATGTAAGATAGGCTCCATGTCTGCCTGATATTCCGGATGTTTCCCCGAATCTGTGGCGTCGTATATTGGTATTGTAATGTGTGTGTGTGACTTCACCCGTACTCTAGATTCTGCGCAGACCGCACGTCGGTAGTAGTGTAATTATGACATTCGAAACGACATGTTGATCTTGTACTGGATACATTGGCGTGGTTGCGGATATGCCCGAGTAGGCGAGCGTTACGTGAGTGCAGGCAAAAACTCATGTGGCTGAGCGAGGACGTGCGCCACACGCGTCCGGGCAATCTGATCTGATCTAGCACTCGCAGTACCCGATCTGGGCTAATGGATGACGGGAGGAGCGGGATCTCGGGAGGATCTGGGCTCTGGTAGATCGCCGTGCGTTGCATGTGGGCGCTGCCGTCACCGATCGCGAGGCCCGACGTGGTCCTCCGGCCATTTGCGGCCTCTTGGAGCCTCCGCGCGGCGTCGGCTACTTGGCTCGTGCTTGTCCCGTTGTCGCCGGCGCTGCGAGGGCTACACGTAAGGTCGAGCCTAGGATGCCGGGGTGCGTGCGTTGTTGGGCCTTGTGGATGGGGCGCCGTGTCGTGTCGCGCAGGGGCGGGACCTGGCGTCGTCGTCCGCGCCGCTCGCTTGCTTGGAACGGGAGTGATGGACGGCGGGCATGGTGCGTTGCTGTTAGCTGCTTTGCTGTCATGCTGACTCGCGGGCACGCTTCGTCGGAAAGGTATCCGCGTCTGCGGTCGTCGTAACCGCGGCTGGCGTACGACAGGGAATGCGGACGCATGAGCTGCATTCGGCGTGGCGGCTGGAAACATTCTATGTAGAACCCAGGGGTACGGTAGCCCTGAGTCGTTGAATCGATTCGGATGTGCAGGGATCCGTATTTGGAGCGCAAATCCGACGCAGTCATGTAGATCCTCGTGTTGACCAACTCGTCGTGCGGTGCGCTATCTTCTGTTGATCTTCTTGTGCTTGCGACACTGATCGTTCATCAGTTGAAGGCCGTACATACCAGCTAGTAGAATGACTATGCGTAGTTCTCAGACGAGCCAACAGTGGCGTGACTGGCAGTGACAACGTGTCCAGTGGTGGTGAGTCCATGCTTAGTGCGCTACACAACGCTACCAAGCGCTTTACAGCGTAGCCCGAGAACATGATTGACATGATGCCATACCGCACGCGGACGAGTACGGATTCAGGTCAAGATATGGACGCGCACTCACTTGAACCTGTCCATGCAAGTATTCTGCATACGTGCAAACCTTCCGGCCAATGTCGATTCTTCAGACAAGGCGTTTGTGGTTCATTACAAGTAACATCTCCATTCTCAACTGATCTAACCGTGTCAAGATGGGAGCACACAGGAAAGGCGTTATTACAAGAGAGCCACCCTTGCCCGAACCGCCACATATGCCAGCAGTCTATAGATGACCAAGATCACAAGCAAGAGTGCGGTGAACTTTGCTGTGTTCCTATCTTTGAAACCGAATGTCTCGATCAACTGTTCTCCCGTAGCTGCAATAGACGTCAGACCCAGATCATGATCATGCATCGCGGCAAGAGGTTTCACACCTGCAAGGCACTCTCCGGAGGCAAGCTGCTCCTGCGTGCAGTTGAAGACCAAACCGCTGAACTCGTTGATGAAGGCCACACGCCTGCAACAACAGCAATATCGGTGTCAATGCGCCGGATACATTTGCGATATACAGCTTGCTCACGCTTGATAAGTCAGCGCACTACCCCAGGAAATGACTGCGAGCCAGCGAGGAAGCGTGACAGAGATAATCCCACACGTCTGCGCAAGCACTGTCAAGGCGCACGAAACGAGCGATACGGAGAGGCCTCCGTTAATCACCCAGCCTATGGCAGAATGTCAGCGGAATACTGGCAATCCTCGTCTAGCACGACGTACTGGAGAAAATGATCTACAATCGACCATCAGCATCAGCCTTCAAGATTCAAGCCTCAATTAGCAGATTAACGTACCCCGATGCTTTCTCCAAAGCTGACCAGGCCAAAAATACCAAACGAGAACTCAAAGAACCTCCGCGCGTCGATCTGCAGGCCCATACCCGCCATCATGATGACTGAATATATCTGAGGATCACTGGATCGTCAATCACTCAACATCGATGCAGTGAGATGGGCGGACCATAGCAGCTAGAAATTGCATAGGGACTTCCTGAATCGTGTACGACATGATGAAGGTAGCGGCACCATAACGGGAAGCAGGGTTCTTGTATTCCCTATACATGGTACGTTATAGCCAGCCATGCCTGAGAGAGCAAGCATCACACACCTGTAGAACGCGTCTCGTTCAGCAGGGTATATAGCAATAGACGCAAGCATCCCTGATGTCTGCTCAGTATTTCTCTTTACCATTGAAAGACATCTATCACTCACCGACAAACGGCATAGCGCTGTTCTCCATCAACAGTCCGATCCTATCCTGTGCACTCGCAGGCCCGTGCCCGAGCCGCAAAAAGAACATCCAAAAGATCAAGACAAGGAATGGAGGATTCGCAAGCCGCGCCACGAAGACGTCCTGTTGTCTCCTCAGGTTCTTCCAGCTGCGACTGAGCACCACCGGCAGCGCATACTCCGACGCGCTCCTCTTTGGCACACCCACCGCATGGCCGCTCGGCGTGGACAACGCATCAGACAAAGGGGCGTCCTCCTCCGCCTTCTTGAGCTCGTGGTCCTTCTGCCACGCTTGGACCAGCGCATCTCGACCCTCTCCACACACAGCATCCACGACCCAGTCCGCGGGGTTCCACCAATCGGGCATCTGAACGCCGCTGACGCCGTCCACCCAGTCGACGACGCCGTTCTTGTCGCCTGCGTACACTACCTTCCCACCTGCGGCGAGCACGACTACGTCGTCCACCTGCGTCCAGACCTCCGAGCGCGGCTGGTGCACAGAGGCTACGACTGTGCGGCCGGAACGCGCGAGCGCACGGAGGGCGTCGATTACCGAGAGCGCGGAAAACGCGTCAAGGCCGGAGGTGGGTTCGTCGGCGAGAAGCACGGAGGGATCTGCGAGCAGCTGGACAGCGAGCGCTAGGCGACGTTTCTCACCACCGCTAATACCCTTGACCGTCTGCGAAGTCATCAGGCGGTGCGCTCGATAGATATCGGGACCGACGAACCTCACCACCGACAACGTGGTCTGCAACAGGCGTGAGGCCCATTGCCCTCATGACATCTTCCGCGCGCTCTCTCTTCGCGGCCTTGCTCATACCGCGCAGCTGAAGCTCCGCAGCGTAGTGCAGGGTCTCTCTGATCTACAGCGCACGGTATCAACGAACCTGCAGACAACAATACAGAAAATTGACGTACAGTGAGTGCAGGCAAGAGCCATTGGTCGCTCTGCTGCACAAACGCGACCTGCTCACTGTGGCCTGAGGAGGTAGGCCGACCATTGAAGAGGATAGAACCTGCCACAGAGAAGCGTGACGGCGGCAGCTGACCTGCCATCGCCTCCAACAACGAGCTCTATAATGCGAACATCGTCAGCGACCGCGCCGACCCGCAAGAACGCGCATGCCTTTCCCGCACCCGACGGCCCCAGCACGACCGTCAACCGCCCAGGCCTAAACGTCACATCCACACCGTCCAAAATACTCTTACTAGCGGTGCCCAAGAGAAGCCCGCCCTTAACGATGATGCCCATGTCCTTCAGCTCCACGTCGACCCGCTCGCGCGTGGGCGCCTCCACCTCCTCGACCTTCGCGGGTTTCTTAGGCCGCTCTGAAGAGGAGAGTTTGTTCTTCGCGTGCTTCACTCCGCCGGGGTGGTAGAACTGAAGGAGGGCAATCTATATGGGGAGGAGGGAGCTGGTTAGTGAGAGGCAGGTAGGGGAGAGGGAAGAGGGTACACACGGCCATGCCGAGGACGACGAGGATGAAGCCGACTATACCGAGGGGGTAGACCCAGAGGGGTGTGTTGAGGTTGAACCGGAGGCCGACGAGGACATTGTCTCCGATGCACTGATTTCTAAAAAGACACCGGCAACTGAGACAAGGTAATCGCGTGGTAGAGCAGGGGATCTGTACCGTTGGACGCCTTCGATGCCTGAACACGAGAAGACTCTACCTCGGAATTGGGTGATTGCTGTCCATCTGAAGCCATACTGTGAGACCTCACGCATCAGTGATGCGGGCGATGGGCGATGGGAGATACATACGAAGTACGGCGACAGCCATTTCATCCAACCAATATACGCAGGGAGGTTCACGATCAGGTACCCCGCGCTCAGAAACATGGCGATGGACAATCCATTCGCGATCAGGGATGCCTGAGCAAAATTACGGTCGATGGAGGCCGCTAGGAGGGCATAGGCGAATGAGCCGTGCTGTTGCAGTATGCACTGCATACCGTGTGAGCGCGCCTGATGATTCATGCAAATGGTGATAGACGTACATTGCCGATGAATATGAATAGGTTTCTCGCGAGATTATCGTGGCGGAAGCCGCACCTAACAGGAGCTTGTGAGCACACGATGTGATCATTTGAATGCTAACAGACTTACATGAAGTAGAGGATTATAGCATATAGGGTCGGTGCGATAATGTTGATGGGCAGGAAGGCAAGCAGATGGCTGCACACCCAGGGGAGCACGTCATATAGTCGATCCTAACCCTGTGTGAGCAGTCTTGGACACATTGAGCCGTATTATCGAGACACACCTCGCGCTCGCGATCAAATACGACGAGCTGCCCGCAGTCTATGTAGATATAGAGTATAAAGGA